ATGAGTCTTCCTCCAATCCTGATGCCATGTTTTTCTTCATATAACCCAGCTTCTCGGATTATTTGCTCAGCATACAGGTTGAATACACCCCTGTTGCACACCTTTCTTAATTTTAAACCATTCAGTATTCCCATGTTCTGTTCTAACAAATCGGTTCCGACCCATAGTAACACTGCATAGGGTTTCTGAGCAGCAGCTAGTGGGTTTGAATGATCAGTCTTGAAGTTAGCAGTCCTTTGCTTATCCTACAGCACCACACCAGAACTCTGGTTACTATATTGTTGTTGTTAACTGCTGTCGAGTTGGTTCCAACTCAGCAGCCCTGTATAGGGTTTCTGAGGAGTAGTTGGTGAGTTTGAACCACTGACCTGCAGTTCACACTGACCTTCCAGTCCAGTGCACTGTCACAGACAGCTCTGTTAGTGCTGGCTTAAGGTATAGTGTATTGCTGTGGGATGAATTGCACTCTGCTTTCAAATTTACTGGCATCGTAAAGTTGACATTTTATTCTGCTTCTGTATTTTATTTTTAGCTATTTTAAAAATGAAGCTAGAAAGAAAAGCTGCTTAAATGTGGGACGTATATAAATTCTTCATAGAATATTTTAATTTAAATTTTTATAATCAACATAATTGAAATTTCTTTGGTAGGATATATTCTTCGAGTTGAATTTTTAAAAAGTTCTTTTTTGAGGTTTTGGAATGAAAAGGAAGAATAGAATAAAGGAGTGATCAGACAGGATAATGTAAACTGTCACCTTAGTACTTCATATAAGTAATTGGGGTGCTAGGGCATGGAGATTAACCTTCTTGCCTAGCACAAGGCTATTTAAATTATCTAAGCTAATTGTCTAGAATTGCTTACCATTTAATTAGTGGTACCCATCCTGATGGGCATATGCCCTTTAAGTTTTTGTGATATTACCTGATCGTCAAAGAAAGGAAAGAAATTTGCTTGGCTTCTTGTAGATTATATGCTACTGTTGCAGAATACAAAATTTAAATCAATAATGAATCCTGCAGATCAGAACACTCTATTGTCAATCAACTCGTGAAATTATACTGGTGCTTAAAAATAGACTTTAGAGTAGTTTTGAACAAATGCCTCAGTGGACACAGCAGACGTCAGCCAGGATTTTTTTTTTTTGAAATTATGCTCAAAGATGATGACCAAAATAAGGTATTAAGTTGTATTGTTCAGTTGAATTATCGTTTGTGTGTTTGAAATGAATAGTTTCAAGATAGTTACATTTTTTTGTTTCACCTGCATAATGATCATGCTGGATTGCTATGTGGTGTTGAGGTTAATTCAGATAGAAAACTATAGTATTGATTATCTGTGGAACCTAGTTGCATATAAATTAGTCAATGCACATTACTTTGAAATACTGAAAGATCAGAAGATCAGAAATTCCCCACAGTTTCAGGTGGCTAGATTGTAGGGATTAGCCGTTTTATTTGACCAGATTCAGGACTTAATGCTGCAGTGTTCATTGCTAAAAGTGAAAATGTTTAGAATTGCATTGAATTTAGTCAGCTGTTAGGCTGTGGTCAATTTTTTTTCCCACCCCGATTCTATTCAAGGTGTGACTTGAGAATCTTAGCAACTCTAAAATACCCAATTTTACCTAATTCTAAGTACCCTTTTATATGGGTAACACACAGAGACTATTTGATTTTCTTTTCCAATAAGTGGTAAGAGAAAAAAAAATGAAATTTTTACAGTGAGTACAAAATTATAACCAAAACCTTTGTGATATGAGTACAAAATTATAACCAAAATCTTTGTGATATAGGTCTTTAAAATATTTATCTAATAAAGTCAACATTTCTTCCTGGTTTACTTAAAGTTGGACTGACAATCAAAATAGATAAAAGTTTACTTTTAATGCTGAATTAAATTTCCATTTATTAATAGAAGCTCTGGTAGCGTAGTGGTTATGAATCAGGCTGCGAGCCACAAGGTCAGCAATTCGAAATTACCAGCTGTTTGTGGGAGAAAGATGAGGCTTTCTGCTCCCGTAAAGATTTACAGCCTCGGAAACACTATACAAACAGGGTTGTTGTGAGTCGGAACCAACTCCACAGCACTTCACCACCACCAACCATTTCCATCTTGATTATCTTGAGCTCTCTTGGTCATATGTTGATTGTCTTTTACAAGTGGTCAGGAATACATGTTGTTGTTGTTGTTAAGTACCATCAAGCTGGTTCCTACTCATAGTGACCATGTATAGGGTTTCAGAGGAGTGACTGGTGAGTTTGAACTGCCAACCTAGTAGTTCAAACCAACCTTGCAGTCCAGTGCTTATTCTTCAGTGCCAAAATAAAACATTGCCATAGTTGCTTCTACTTTCTTTCCAACCAAAAGCCTTTGGCTTCCTAAAACTTAACTTTTGAAGTTCAGTTTTCATACCTGCCAGCTATGAGGAAGGAAGGGTGCTACTCTGTTGCTGTTAACTAACTTTGCCCAGTTATTTTGACAAATAACCCTCTACTCAGTGTTTAATGCTCCATTTACTTTATCCTTTCCCAGGAAGATTCGGAAAGGGCCAGGTATTCCCACCGGTCCAGTCATCATCGTCCTTATCTGGTTTGTAATAACCTATCAACTTTTCCTTTAATGCTTTTCCTCATTAAATTAACATAGTCACTCATGGATTTTTCTATGTTTGTTCTTATTTTTATCAGGCAGTTGAGGATGCAATGCCCATTCGAAGTCTTGGCAGTCACAGGGTTGGTATTTTAAGTTGCTTACACCACAATAGCAAAGCTTATACATGTGAGCTATCTGCATAATCCTTGGCTAAACAATCTGACAGTGTCTCTGTGCTTCTTTGTTGCTTTAAAAACAACAACAACAACAACAAAACACTACTGTGGATTTCCTTTCATTGAAAATGATGCTTGTCTCTCAAATTATTGCTGTACAGTAAATCAATTTTCATCTATTAACATACAATTCTACTCTTTTTATATAGAAGGACCTTTGATTTTGGAGAATTATTATAAAATATTAAGATTGATTTCATAGACTAGTATCTGCTTGGTTCTAACTTTCAGGTTTTTCTTACTTAAAAACAACAACAGAAAAATGACCATTAAATGGGAAATAATTTGGGCCTTTGGTGACTAATTATAATTTTGTTGCATGGATAAGTTGAGCTTTTGATTTGGCAAATTCCCTGCTTGTTATATGTATAGCAGTTATCATGCTTTGACATTTTGATTAACATTTTAGGGACTGCTCAGGGTTTTTAGCATATATTGTTTCTTGTCAAGATCTTGTTCCTTAGATGGTTGCATAATGTGCTGAGTGACCACTCCTAAAGAATTGTTTTATAAAACAGAAAGCAGTGCCTTGTTTTTTGAAGTTTTTTGTTGTGAATTGGTTGAAAGTTTACATGGGAGAACATTGGTTTTACACTCATCCTGTTGTATTTCGTTTCATTGCAATGATTATAGTCCCCTCCGTACATTATCATTCAACAGTATTTGCTTCTATTCCCTTTTTTTTTTTGGGATGTACACAAAAACACTCAAGAATATATAATCATTTAAACAACTAAAGGACACATTCTATAAGCTTGCTTCTTGGCTGCCAGCAAAGAACCTTTCTCTTCCCATGAGTGTAGAGTCCTCAGCTGCTCTATTTATCCATGTCAAAATCAATGCTTTTAAATATGCAACTTGAGAACATTGTATATTTACTTAACTTACATCTAGATTTTTCATCAGTAAAATAATCTTTTGTGTTAAGGTTTGTATTTATTAACTTTCTCCAAGTTTAGTTTTCTTTCCACCTTGTTTAATGTGTGAAAAATGCATTATAGTAAACTGAAGTAAGTTTTGGCTTGTTATATTTGTATTCCTAAGCCTTTCACGCAAGTTATTTTTTATGTTGGTGAATGTAATGTACTGTCTTTTTTGGAGTAACTTAGTAAACTAATTTTTGACTCATAAACATTTTGATTAGTCGCAAAACCTTTTTAGCTTTATAAGAATATTAACAAGCCTTTACAGAAATCTAAAATAATTAGTAACTTAAAAATAATGGGAGAGGAGAAAAGTTGTAAGATAACAAATTTGTCATGGTTGTCCCTGGAGATAGGTCAAATTTTCACTTTAAATATTTTGAAAAGAAACATACATGGAGTTAGTTTTGAAAGATTAAAAGTTGAGTGTCAAAGACTGTAAACAACTCTCCCTTCCTTTAAATGTAGGGCTTTTTTCTTTGCTTTCTGTTATAATGTGAATTTTCAGTTATTCTGAATCTGGTTAGTTTTAAATTTATGTCTGGCCTCAGAAAACTTGATTAATTATTAGTTTAACTTAAAGGTAAAAATCAATCAAATTTGAAACTAACCAGATTCAGAGTAACTGGAAGGTAAAATCAATCAAATTTGAAACTAACCAGATTCAGAGTAACTGGAAGGTAAAATCAATCAAATTTGGCCTAAAGTCTTAAAAACCTATCTGTAAACAAACAAACCAATACACAAAAAGAAATATTCAGTTAGACAGATGAATTATTTAACTTAAGTATTGCAGTAAAGTAAGCACAGGACCTCCAGGTTGGTTTGAACCACAAGAGGTTAGTGGTTCAAATTCACTAGTCGCTCCTTGGAAATACTATTCTGGGCTGCATTGAGTTGGAACCAACTTGAAACATTTAACAGCAACATTTGTAAAATAAGGAGATTGATTTTCTCTTTATGAAAATGCTATCATTAAACAGATTTAAGATACAATTAGAACACTTATATAGTATTTTGGGAGTCCTGGTGTAGTGCTGTGGGTTAATGCGCCAGACTGCAAAGCCGTTTGAACTGCAAGGTCAGCGGTTCAAGCTCACCAGCTGCTCCTCGGAAACCCTATATGGTTGCTGTGGGTTGGAACCGACTTAGTGACACTAAACAACAATTAACATAGTATTTTGAATCCTGGTATGGCACTGTAGGATAATCACTGGGATGGTAACCTTAAGGTCTGCTTGTCAAACCCACCACCCACTCTTGGAACCATGTACAGGGTTGCTATGAGTTGGAACTGACTCATTGGCATACAACAATAACAAGACACATTGTTGTTTTGTTATTGTAACTGTGGAGATTGATTACTGTGGGAAGAAAGGTAAAGCTCCTAATATTTTCAGAAAATAATGTGTGATTTTAAAGATCATTGAAAGGTGTGCACCCTAGAGACTGCAATACTTTCGTGTCTCAGAGTATATATATATCCAGTGCACTTGAAGTATTTGGATTTTCCTGGAAATAAATCTGACAGATCATTAATAACATTGTTTATAAGAAATATAATTGTTTTAAAAAACCTTTTGTTTTACGAAATAACATTAGGAGTTCTAAATTTTCATCACATTATTTGCTTTTAAAAATAGCTATCATTTTCATTAAGCAGAATACATGAACAACTTTGTTCTCTGTAAAAGTAAATATGTGGAATCACATAAGTCACAATAAAACATTTAAGAAAATAAAAAGTAAATGTGTGGACCTGAAATATGACCTAAATTTTCTTATAGCTTGCCATATACTTAAAAAAAAAAATGCTTATATTGTAAATTGAGTGATAACATGGGAGAACATCGGTTTTTCACTCATCCTATCATATTTTGTTTCAATGCGATGATTACAATCCCCTCCATGCACCATTGGTTAACAGTATTTGTCTCTGTCCCCCCCACCCCCCAACCCCCTTTTTTAATGTACACGAAAAACATGGATATTTAATTGTTTAAACAACCAAAGGGCACATTTTGCAAGCTTGCCTCCTGCCTGCCTGCATGTCTTTCCATGAGTCTAGAGTCCTCAGCTGCTCTGTCTCTCCCTCCGTGCCATCACCTCTACCTTCATCTCTTGTGTCACTGCTGCTCTGGTTAGGGTCCCACGTTCCACTCATGCTCTTCCCTCTTGATGGTCCTAGGGTCCTCTGTTCCTGGACTGTAAGATTAACTACTCTCCCCTTTTTGTTACACAACTTCTGCCTTTACGGTTGTGACTATCGCAATTAGTCATGCTAACAATTACTCGCTATTGAATCAAAAGAATCCTATCCCTATCGCCTTTCGCCTGACCCATCTAGACAAGATGGAAACTATTCAGTGGGGATTCTCCCCCACCACCCATGCTCTGAAACTAAACTCCCTCTTGAAAACTTGTAAGCCAGTCACATTGTACCTTTATATTTTTTGGTTTACAGAGGGATATTGCATATAATTTTGAGGATCTGGTATTTCTCTGTCAGTTTAAAATTTTTTAAAAAAACTTAATGAACCATGTACTAAAAGTCCTAATACTTTTTGAACATTTGATGTTTGAACATTGATGTATGAGAGAGATTTTTGTATGGTTTTATGCCATATTGTTTCTGTTGTCTAAATAATTTGTAGATATTACTTTTTTGAAATGTGACCTGTCAGAAACTATTTGGATTGGAAACAGTGTCAATCCTATAGATATTCATTTAGAAATAAAAAGAACAAGTAGTTCAAGACTATTGGTAGGGTGGTGGTAAGGAAGGTGGTAAGATTGGAATTAAGACAGTCTACTATTGGAGTCCTGGTGTGGTGCTGTGGGCTAATGCGTCAGACTGCAAAGCTGTTTGAACTGCAAGGTTGGTGGTTCAAGCTCACCAGCTGCTCCTTGGAAACCCTATAAAACAGGGTCGCTGTGGGTCGGAATTGACTTGATGGCACTTAACAATAACAACAACAACAACTATATCTATTAGTTATGTGTACTGATTAGAGCTTTGACAGTGTAGAATATTAGTGAGTGCTTACACAAAATGTATTGCACAAATGCTTAATCACTTTCCCTGCTTTATATGCTGAAATATAAGAAGATTGTAAGGTAGAGAGACCCAAATGAGGTGATCTTGAATAAGAGCTGTTAGAGATATATTGCTATTTCTCATTGGTGGATATTTTTACTTTTGTTTATATTTAATTCCTATTTATGTGTCAATGACCTTCATATAATTATAATGAATTTATTTTTCTTAATATGTTTGCAATTTGTGCTTTGTTGCTACACTAAATTCCATTGAAGAACCTAACCAAAGATATAACTGGGACACACTGGAGCAGAGCCAGCCCACCCAAAAGGAAAGACATCATGGTGTGTAGCCCAGAAATGTATGTGGTGTTGTATGTGGTTTACTGTCAGTGATTTGGGGTTTTGAGAAATAGGTGTATTCTGATAGAAACTGTTACTTGGTAGACTTTGCTTCCACAACCTCTTTGTTATACTTTTAATTTTGGTTTCAAATAAAATGAAAACTATAGACAAATTGTTCTGAGAGTTAACAAAAAACTTTTGGCAAGTGATAATTACAATTTTGCAAACATTTTAGCCAGATCCATTAATATTTTCAGTTTTTTTCTTCTTTGAGGAATCATTTGTTTTTAAAATAACGTAAACAACAACTATTTATTATATGTGTTATTTTTCTTTGCCCCATATTATAGAAGCAGTTGGACATCCATGTTTAAGTTATGGTTTTTTCTATGAGATAGCTTCAGTAATTTTTAAAAATCAGCTGAACTACAGGAAAAGAAAATTGGAATAGATTAGTTTCAGTTCCATTTAGTTCCACAGTTGCTGTGCTGAAGAAATAAGACGCAGCTACTGTCTTTGTTAAGGAGCCCTGTTGTTGTTGTTGTTAGGTGCCATTGAGTCAGTACCGACTCATAGCAACCTTATGCACAGCAGAACAAAACACTGCCCGATCCTGGGCCAACCTCACTACTGTTGCCACGCTTGAGTCCATCGATGCTGCCACTTGGCCAGTCCATCTTGATGGGTGTCTTCCTCTTTTCTCTGACCCTCCACCTTACCAAACATGATATCCTTTTCCAGTGACTGGTCTCTCAAAGATGAGGTGGCACAGTGGTTAACCATAAAAGGTCAATGGTTTGAACCCACTTGCCATTCCTCAGGAGAAAGATGTGGCAGTCTGCTTTCATAAATATTTACAGCTTTTGGAAACCCTGTATTGAGTTGGAATCAACTTGATGGCAATAGGATTATTCTCTTCAATGAATTTATCTGATTGGGAGAATGGAGTTTATATACATAAGTTTGGGGCTTGAATAATAGGTGTTTTGGTCATGTTTTCTTTCTTTCTCTTTTTTTAATAGATGTGTTAGGTATTTCATTAACTGAGAAAAGTAAATGAGCTTTCTATAGAGAAGGACTTTTGTTTTCAGGCAAATAACATCTCATTATGCATTTTAGGGGAGTACTGTGGCTCTGTATACTAAGTTCTGGATTGTGAATCACAAGTTGAGCAGTTTGAGCCCACCAGCTGTTCCACTGGAGAAAGATGTTCCTGCAAATATGTGCTTGGAAATCCTGTACAGTATTGTTGTGTGTCTGAGCTGACTGGATGGCACTTACCAATGATAACAACTATGCATTTTAGAAAAATTTATTACACATGAAATAATAATACTCTTTATTGCCTTTTCTGGTAATTTAAGGATAACATAAGTATACAAATGAAGACTTTTCTGCTCCAGTATTTTTTGGTATTTAATCCAGCCTTTTCACTGAATTTATGAACGGAGTAAAACTGCCCCACTTAGGCTTATACATGTTGTTGTTACATGCCGTCGCGTCCATTCCATCTCACAGTGACCCTGTATAGGCTTTCCAAGGCTTTATTTCTTTGCAGGAGCAGAGAGCCTCATCTTCTGTCTAATGAGTGGCGGGTCGACTCAAATCATTGACCTTTTTGTTCTCAGTCCAGTGCTTATCCTATGGAGCCACTGTATTCCTCTAGCCCTACACATGTGAAGTCTATTTTTCAAAGTTTCTACAATACCTTTTTGAAAGAACTCTCTCATTGGACACAAAGGGAAGGATTTTGTTCTTTTTTGATCTAGTAGTTTCATTCCTAGTTAGAATTAAACTATAAAAATTTGGTTTCCTAGTATAGTTTAAACTTTTTAAAATTATGACCACTGCAGCAAAAAATACATTTTGCATAGTAATCTGGTAGAAATATGTGGAGATGTACAGATGTTTTTTGTATGTATATATAAGTAAATAAAATCCATCATTGAAACACTATTTCCACCCAATGCTATTTGCTGTTACTGTGTACTACACACTCTTTACTATTTCCACTTCTATTTTATTTGATTTAAAATGTTGGCTAAGAACACTATATTGATTTGTTGTTGTTGCTAAGTGCTGCCGAATTGGTTCTGACCCATAGAGAACCCTGTATAAGGTTTCTGAGAAATGGTTGGTGGGTTTGAATGCCAACTTTGTGATTCAAACTGATCTTGCAGTCCAGCGCATTATCCTGCAGCACTACACCAGGACTCCAGGTGACTTAATGAACTATTAATTGGTTGTAATAACAGTTAGGAAAGCATTGCTTTAGGTTAAGTGGTGGTTGTGGTGTTAACTAATGTCAAGTTGGTTCTAACTCATAGCTTGTATAGGGTTTCTAAAGAGTGGCGGGTGAGTTTGAACTATAGACCTTAAGGTTAACAGTCTAGTGCTTAACCTATAGTACCTTCAGGGCTCCTTAAATCTGTGTATACACCCACTGCCACTGTGTCAGCTCTGACTCATAGGGACCCTGTATAGGGTTTCCAAGGCTATAGATCTTTACAGGACTAGAAAGCCTCACCTTTTTCTCCTGGAGTAGCTGATGGGATTTCAGTGCTTACCTTGTGGTTAGTAGTCCAGTTGTTATCATACAACACTACCAGGGCTCCTTAAATTCATGGACAGTTGGTTTTTTTTAATTAATTTACTTGGAATTATAGTATTGCATATGTTTTCATTGGGCTGCTAATGCACAACCATTAATTGAAACCCATCTGCTGCTTTTCAGAAACCCTATACAGGGTCACTAGGAGTCAGACTTACCTCTTTGGTGTGTTTCAGCAACAACATTAGAATATAGGTTTTTCTGATCTTAATATAATTTTCAGATATTTTTCTTTGATTTACATTTAATGTCATACTTGTATACTTTGATATGGCTAGGGTTCTCAATTTGTTCAGCATTTTTAATAGGGAATGTTCTTGAGAAAGAGAGTCTTTCAGATGTGTGTCCATAAACAGTTCCAGAGGAATTTCTATTATTTTGGTGCTATTGTTTTTTGTAAGCTTGACCCTGCCAATTTTGTACTCTTGCCTTACTGTCTGTCCATGCTTTGCTTTTGCAATGCTTCAAACGATGAAGAATGATGATAATAGTAAATGTAATAAAAAATAAAGCATCTTTTTACTTCAGAATGTTTAATTTCTGCATTTAAAGGGTTCCTTAGTGTGTTTTGTGCTGTAGTCTACTGAGATTGAATTGTCTTTCCTCTATTCAAATACAGAAAGAGAAATAGACACTCCGTTTTAAATATACATGCAATTTAGCAACAGTTCATACTAGAAAAGAGTAGGGAGGAGAATATTATTAAATTCAAATGTAATAACCTTCATGTTTGGTAATATTTGGCTTTTAAAAGTAGTGTTGGACTTTAATAATTTTGAAATGTTACTTTTTTTTTCTCTTTATCTTTCTGAATTTGGAAACTCAACCAACATTCATCCTTTTCTGAAATTCAGTTTGATGCTGTCAAGGATAGATCCTCAAGACTTTCATCATTAGTATGTAGTGCATGACATGTGTTCAATATGGTTTTACTTTTAACTATGATATTGCTAATCATAGTATATGACTAACTTTCACGCATTTGTTATGATGTTTTGAGGAAATTTTGTCTAACAAAGCAAAACATTGTTTTGTAATTTTTCCTGTAGAATGTTAAGATGAGATAAAAGTTATTTGCTTCCTTATTCAGGACTGAGATTGATAGAACAGCATCTTTCCTTAAAATGACGAGCTATTGCACAGTAATACAGGTGGCTAATCGGGCTGGGTTGGACACTGAACTACATTAGCACAGGACTAACTGTGTTTCATGGTCTACAGCATAAACTAACAAATATCAGATTGCTAACAGAAACATCCAGCAGTCACAGATGAAACCAGAGACAACAATATATCATTTTAACCAAGAAAATTAAGTTATAGTTTGCTTTTCTATAGTTTATATCATGTAGTTGATTATTTGAGTTTCCAGACTATGTAAATTTATCTAAAATGTTCAGGTTAATTTATAAAAGAAAATATATGTATATTCAAAAGGACCTCTGGTAGCTTAGTGGCTACGAATCTGGCTGTGAATCTCAAGGTCAGCAGTTCAAAACTACCAGCTGTTCCACAGGAGAAAGATGAAGCTTTCTGCTCCTGTAAAGATTTACAGCCTTGGAAACCCTGTGCAGGGTCACTATGAGTCGGAACCGACTCTATGGCACATAACAACAACATATTCAAAGCAAAGATTATGTAATTACAGATATTAACCCTAGCTGTCCCGGGGTGGTACTGTAGATTAAGCAAGGACAGTGGTTCCAACCTATCAGTCACTCCTTGGAGACCCTGTATTGTTATTGTTAAGTGCCATCGAGTTGGTTCTGACTCGTAGTGACCACGTGTAAGGGTCCAAGGAGCAGCTGCTGGGTTTGAACTGCCAACCTTGTGGCTTGCAGTCCAGTACTGATCCTACAGTGCCACATCAGGAGTCCAGGGAACGCTATACAGGGTCATTATTAGTTAGTAGGAACCAACTTGATGATACTTTAATAACAACACACTTAAATGAGGTGGTTAGCCTAGAGCAGATAGGCTGTTGCCTTTGGCAGTTGATAGGACACTTTTGGACTCCTGGTGTAGTGCTGTAAGATAGGCACTGGCCTGCAAACCACAAGCTGGTGATTCAGACCTACTAGCTGTTCCTCGGAAACCCTGTACAGGGTCTCTATGGGTCAGAATAGACTCGACGGGACTTAACAACCGTCACTTCTAACTGCACCCATCATTTCAAGCAAGTACAAACTTTGAATTCCTTGTTTGCCAAATGATCTTTTAGTAATATTGCTGCATTTTGATGTATCCTTATGTACACTTGACTTCCATACTGCTTGCAAAACTTGTACAAGAGGGCTTCCAAAAATTCAAGGAAAAATTCCATTATGTTTTCATTTCATTTTTTTCCATGAACTCTTTGTAGTTATCCTGTATTGAGAAGGTCTTTCTTCAAGATTCCTCAGATGAAGCTAATTGTCTAGTAACTGATGTTCCTCTGCTGGGCAATCTCTGACATCTTGGCTGTTTACCACCAACTTTACCTGACAGAGTACCTCCAGCATCATAGCAACATGCAAGCCACCACAGTACAAAAGACCAACATATTCTTTGTTCTATCAAATTCCATCCCATTATAAAGAAGATAGAGGGAATCTAGTGAGGTGAGGGGTGAAGATCCCCATAAATGATCCTGCCTGGCTCTTAATCCTCGTTCCGTTTTCTGTAACTGGCCAGGCACTAGGTACAAGAGGAAGTGAGGGAGGATGCAGATATAAATTTAAAGAGATCACATATCTTAGCCAGTCAAGTGCAGTGAATTGTTTACTAACAGATGGGAAATAGATTGCATGTAAACTACTCTTTTTGGCATATGCACCCTTGGTGTTTATCATTTTAAGTAGTAATTTTATCAAATTAAAACTTTGCTCTATGGTCATTAAAGTTAACTTAAAATATTTGCTTCCAGAGTCATTCACTTAGTCACTCTTATGGAATGAAGAAAAGATCTTCAGGTTCTCATAAAGATCCTCTGGTTAGTTCTGATGTGTCCTGTATGTCTACCCAGTATCTTTGCTGCTGTAAATTCACTGATGGTTTTTAGGGTACTTAAGAATTATGACTGCTTTGGTGTGTTCCTAAAGCATTACTGAAACTTGATAATGTATTAGAACATATTATATCTGAACACCATTAAAAATAATTGTTTTCATTAGAAGATTTAATATCAAATTAATATGCAGGTGCTTGGAAAAATGGAATGAAAAGATAATGGAATTTTTCCAAAAATGTTTGAAGCCTCCTCATATATGCTTACCTCTGGAGTATCGTAAGAACCTCATTAACCTTTATTTGTGAACCATCCTTTGAATTATATCTCAAGAATAGGTTTAATGACATTCTCATTCTTATTTTATAGATTTAATGTTGTTGTCAAGTTGGTTCCAATGCAGAGTGAGTTTATGGGTAACTTACAAATAGGTCTTATTTAGCAAATTTATTTGTAGGTCAAATTGGGAAGGTGGGGTGCATTTTCTGGTAGAAATAAAATATGATGGTAGAGTTCCCTGCTAGCTTGCTGAAAGTGCTTTAACCTGTAATGTAATTGAACTACAGAGCTAACATTGTTGTCCATTACTTGAAGAGCTTATCTTTGGGGAAAAAGATCTCCAGAATGTCCACTTGAAGTAGTAGGAACACTTCTTTCCTGTTAAGACTGTTGAAGTTCTCTGAGTTCCCTGCTAATATGAGGGTTGCTATGAAAAGGGCTCTGGATAATGGAGGAGGGAGAAGAGATGTAGTGGAGAAGACTTTATTGAGAGGCCCTGGAATGTGAGGTATTTAGGAGCTCTGGTGAGATGAGTCATGTCTTTTCAGTGAGGTTGTGAATGGGGAGTGGTGCAGGAAGACAGGGCTAACATTGGTAAAGGTGTGGGGATCACAGTAAAGGTGTCTAGATTACAGTGTCATCACTAAAGGAGTTTTACAGTCAAGAATTGCCAATTCGCTTAGCCTTGAGTTAAAAACACGCCTAGCTTAATAGGAGTAGTCCTGGTGTAGGGCTGTAGGATAAAGCCGTAGACCTCAAGGTCAGTTGGAACCACAAGGTCAGTGGTTCAATTCACCAGCCGATCCTTGGAAACCCTATGTAGGGTCACTGTGAGTTGAAACCAACTTTACAGCACTTAAACAACAGCAAAATTGAAAAGGAAATTCATGATGATTTTCTCCCCTCAGCTAAACATTGTGTGCAAAGGTTTTGTTTGTTTTATGTTATGTATTAAAATTGAAACTGCTGAAGGAGCTCTGGTAGCATAGTGATTACGAATCGGCCTGTAAACCGCAAGGTCAGCAGTTTGAAACTAACGCTGTTCTGTGGGAGAAAGATGAGGCTTTCTGCTCCCATGAAGATTTACAGCCTCAGAAATCCTGTACAGGGTCGCTCTGAGTCAGAACTGACTCCATGGCACATAAACACCATAGGTAGTTTATGCCAACCATGTTTATCCTACTCTCCCTTTTTAATGTGATCAATTTATTTTGAAAAGTAGTGAGGCTAGACAATGTTTAGGACCAGGTTTGGAACTGTTTAATCATTTCTGTGGCTTTGCCAAATGGGCTAAAAAAGCGGCAATAATTTATTGTGTTCTTGCATATAACATGCCCATATAAATAGTGACACATATATACAATGTGTATAGCATACACAGAAGGCTAACAGCATATGAGGGGTTGTACAGTTTGCATAAAGCATAATGTATACATATAATTCACTTAAACATATGGTAGTTCTGGAGTTTTCAAGGACAGTCCTAAGTATGACACTTAAATTGATCAATTATTCCATTTTATTTTAACTGAGGATTTTTTTTTTAATTAATGATTTGCTTTGAAGACAGCTAATTTTTAACAATAATAGGGTTGGTTTTTTTTTTGAGACAGTTGTAATAATTGTTATTTTGATTTTTACATATAAACTTGACCCAGTGCTTTTAAAGACATTGTTTTTCAGGCGAAGGGCTTTGAGAATATAAAAATTTGGTTTTGTGTGATCAGAATATTGTTTTAGTATAGTAGTTTAATATAGCATTTAACCTAAGAAAAATGTATTTAATTTTGCTTTTTGCAGAGTGGCCTCTACTTTGACCAGAGAAACTATAGCAGTCTTAGACATAGCAAACCCACCTCTGCCTACTCTACTCGGGTTTGTCTCAGCATTTTGGTTTTATGTGTTTTATCCAAATTTGACATATTACTAACTCCCTTTTGCATTTTGCCTAGTTAGAACTAATCTGTGCATGGTTGTGCATATATTGTAGTAACTGAATTCATAGTCTGTGTGAGTGCATCTTTAAAAACACCGTATTTTGTATGTACCATTTTTAGAAAATGCATTTTAGTGAGAGGATTTTGAAACATATGCGTACAAAAAAAGATTATATAATAATTCAGTGAACACTATACACCTACTTCTTAGATTCTACAATGAACAATTTACTGTATGTCCTTTGTCACATAATTATCCATCTCTTGGTCCCTGTATCCATTTGTCAGTGTATCTTGTTTGATGCATTTCAGAATAGATTGCAAGCATCAGGATACTACACAGTGGGAACCCTTTTAATAAAAGCTTTGAAGTGAAAGTTTAAACAGTGAAAGGGAATAATGAGAGCGTTTGTTTAGGGTTAGAATTGTTGGCTTTTTCAAGGCATTTGGCAAACCATACAACTAAAATGTACTTTGAATTATATACACATAATGCATTTAAAATAATTCCTTTTATAAAACCTGTGCACTCGGCTTACTTGCTAGCTCTGTAGTCTATATCTGATTGGGTTTGTGAGAAAGAAACAATGACACCAGGAAAAGAAATTCCATTTTAAAAGTGCTGTGCTCTTAGTGCATGGAATTCATTGTCGCTAGTACAGTTTATAAGGAGCTCTGGTAGCTTAGTGGTTACGAATTGGGCTGCGAACCGCAAGGTCAGCAGTTCAAAACTACCAGGTGTTTCACGGGAGAGAGATGAGGCTTTCTGCTCCTGTAAAGATTTACAGCCTTGGAAACCCTGTATAGGGTTGCTATGAGTTGGAACCGACTCCACGGCACATAACAACAACAACAGTACAGTTTATATGACTAAACTACAGCACTTTGTCCTTGGCTTGTTTTGAAATACAGATTTTCTAATCTGTTTGGAAAAGAGTATCAGAAGCCATACTCAGAGCTCATTTTCCTGGTTCCCCAACAATCAGACTAAGCTCATTAAGAGTTTGTCACAAGATCATTGAAAATACCATAGGAGCTGCTTTTGACTGTGGGATATGGCCACCTTTTGCCACATGTACTGTGGTCCTGTCGTCGTCAGTGTCTTCTTAGGTTGATGTCCTATTTTAACAGTAATGTTCAGAGACTAATAGGGCATAAGCACATGTATAGAAAACTTCTCTGAGTGTTTCTCTTTCTTATCCCTAAAATTGATGTTCGGAATGGTTTCTTAATAATGTTTCTCATTTTATGTGTTTCGTATCTACCTTGTTGTTGTTGTTAAGTGCCGTTGAGTTAGTTCCAATACATAGAAACCTTCGAGCTGGGTTTGAACTGCCGACCTTTTAGTAGTCCAGTGCTTATTCTACAGTGCAGTACTCAAAGATTGGTAGTCAATTATGAAATCGTGAATTTTAAATGACTCATAATGGTAAGACAAATTCTCCTTTGTTTGCTTATGTGATTTGTTTTGTTTTTTAGTGCTCTTCTCTGTACAGTGACCCTCTGGCAACTTCTAAGAGTAACAGGGTTAGTACTTTCTGCGGTGTGCTGCCTTCACAGCTACCAGTGGCTTTCCTCACGCTAATAATGCCCTTTTCTCCTAGGCCTCCCCTACTGCACATTCTGGTCTGCCAAGAAGTGCCAGTCTGGTTTGTATTTACCTCTGTCAGCATGTGTATACTACTGGACATGCTGGTGTTGTGGCGCTGACTCTGGGGCCTGACAGCTTTCCTCCAAAACTGTCAAGGAAACATGGCTCGATTGTCGTTCATATATACTGCAGAAGGTGCTGCCTGTGCTTAAAAATCAAAACTTCCTGGTGGTCAGAATACTATGGAGGTGTTACTGGCCATTGGTAGGCCCTTGCTTAGACTCAATTTGCTTATCAAGGAGATAGACTTGCCTGGCTCCCGCCACACTTAACACAGTTTTATGAGATGGCTGCCCATGTGAAAAGTACCGTCTTTTCCTTTGGGACAGCCTGTTGCTGTGACGTTGGCCACATTAGTGTTGGGCTCTAATAAAGCAAGAAGCTGACTAGAAAAGCAAAAATAGTAGCTCTGTGTAATGTGCAAGATGTGAGTTAGTTGCTTTCAAACTGTTATATGGACTGGGAACCTGAATTTGTATAACTGAATTCTGTTGTAATACTGAGCAAGATGCTGTCTGTGCCTGTTTTTGTTTTCTGTTCTAGTCCCTCTTTCGAAAAAATAAATTGGTAAATACTTGTGCTCCTAGTTGTTTTTTTACAGCATAATGATGAAAGGGTAATACAGTGACCATTTTGAAAAAATGAAGCATGAGCTGAATTTACACTAAAACAGATATAGGAATTTAGCATGTAAATGAGTGTAATATTCTTCAGAGTCTTCATCTTGAGAATTTATATGCTTATTCCATTCCTCAGAACTTTTTTTTGGAACTCAGTACTGCAAAGAAATTGTGCATTTTCAAAATAACTTAGATGCTGAATAGATAAATGGTATTTCCTTTGTTCTTAGGCATCATTGTACCACGGTGGATTATATAACCCTTATGGTTCTCGAACTGTAAGTTTAACTAGTGCGCAGTGGTCAAAAGGGTGATGGGTAGATGGGCACATGTACTTACTAAGAGAAAGTCATTGAATCTGACCTGTAATTACAATATATAAGTGCAACCCATTCATTCACTTAGCCATTTTTGTGACTGTTGCCCAAGCTGTGAGAATGTGCCTGCTAAATGAAAGTCATGATTCAAATATGCAGGAAATACAAATAGAAAAACCTCTTTTCTTGCTCAGGAAGAGCATGAGAGGAGTGCTGCTCAGGGCATTCACTCCCTCTCTTTCCTCTCCCTCTTGTTATATGCTGGCAGATCTTCAGGGCAAGGTGAGGTGGAATTCCAGATCAGGGAATAAGTTTACATTCACACTGGGAACCAGGGGAAGCAGGAAAAGCAGCTGATCACTGATGTAAAACCTTTCTTTTTGGAAACTTTCTAGCCATCTGAATACAGTTATTATTCATCAAGAACAAGTTCAGCCCGAAGCAGTCCTGTGGTGAGCTGTCTAGGCTCTTTGCATGCTTTATGAAAACTTTTCGGTTGTTTCATTAATCTAGACTCACAGTTTAGAATATTACGGATGTGGTGTGTTGCACTCTTGTGTACAGATTGCTTTTTCCTCAGTACATAAACTCAAGCACTAATTTTTCTTAATCTGTAGTTTCTTTATGAATGTGACTTAGCATGCATTTTCTTAAATGACTCTGCAGCCAGTGCCATTAGAATTTCTTTAATTTTATATTAATTGTCATTAATGTGGAATACCTTTTCAGTGGTGATTATTTATAGATTGACTATGTTTCTCCTTTCCATCTTTGTTTCATTCATTGTGCAGTTTCACTTGTTTGGCAACACTCTGGAAGGAGAAGAAATCAGACAAACCAGTTTCTAAAATTTACATTAAAAAAACACCAAAGTTAGTTATTTAATACACCAAAGTTAATATTTCTGGTATATTAAAAGTATTTTTAATTTACAAGCAAAGTCCAAAGTAAAAGTCCCTTGACCACCTGTATTTCCATTTCCCAAATGCAGCCTTTGTTCTTATTTATCCTCCTAGAGATGTTAGTCAATTTTAAGTGTCCGTTATTTTGAACACTAATATGTTCATATACATCCTGCTTTTTGGCATTTAAAATAATTTGTTTTTGAAGTATGCCACATTTCTTTATTCTCTTAATGTCTCTTGCAGATTGTTTCATATCAGCACATTAAAAGAAATGGCGGTACTTTATTTCATTAATATATAGTCTGTGTTGTTATTAAGTGCCTTTGAATTGGTTCCAACTTAATAGTGACCCTGTATAGGGTTTCTGAGGATCTGCTGGTGCATTTGAACTGCCCATTTCCAAATATATTTTTGTGTAGTTAATATGACTAGGGAGTACTGGTGTGGGGCTGTGGGTTAATGTGCTGGACTGCAAAGTTAGTTTGAATTGCAGGGTCAGTGGTTCAGACTCACCAGCCGCTCCTTGGAAACCCTATACAGGGTTGCTATGGGCTGGAACTGACTTGACAGTATTTAACAACAACAACAACAACAACAACAATATGACAAGATCTGCAAGGTAAATTGCTAATCATAAAATGATGTAGTATGAGAGCGTATGCATTTCAATTATGATATGTATTGTCACATTCCTCACCCAACAAACAAAATTCAAAACTGTGTTACCTGCATTTCTAATAGCAAATAATGACTTTTGGAATTACCTTGTTATCCTTGACAACACCGAAGGTAGGGAAATAATGAAAACAGTTTATTAATGGTTACCTAAGTTTACTTTTTAGGAGTTTAATAGTTGAATGCTATGGACTTTCTTTTGTTTAAATGTTTGGCTCAGTTCTCTTGTCATTTCCAGGTGGCACTTCTAAGATACCACTCCTATTAAAAAAAAAAAAAAAAAATCACACAGGGATTATAAAGAGTTGACTTTTTCACATAATAATGGACTTTGTTTTGAACCTGTTTTTGAATAACATTCCCCTTGGTCATTATTGGGCTGGGTAGCTGGTGACATTTTTAATGTACCAAGTATAGAATTTTGTCCTCATATGTTATTTGAAATTAAGATTCAAACCATTCCTACATCACAAAATTCTTATCTAAGTGGTGTCACAATGGTTTCTTAGTGATTTTAGAATGGTCAGAATGAAGGTAAACTACATGTGCCAAAGATGAGTTTTCCACTGCTGGTGAGGCAGAAAGAAGACTGACCTATTGTAGAGGGATGTTGGCAGTATCTTCACTACTTGCATAGCAGTGAATACAGGAAAATGAGAATTATCTTGATAGTGCCCTAGCTGGTAAGAAATTCCACTGTTGACTTATATAACTAAAATATTCTTTGATTTTTTTTTTTTCTCCCAAACTGAAATTTTAAAAATATTTCTTTTTTGATCCCTTATGGGAACCTCAAGGGCCTGTAGGTTCAAAAAACATGAAATCCCTAAGTGGTTTTAGCTAGTTTACTAATTAATGCCTCTCTTTTAATTCAATTTAAATAAAAGATAGGGTTCTATTTTATTCTTTATTCCTTTTGGAAATGTCTTTTATTGTTCATTAATGAGACTACATTATACCCAGAAACAGCTTTTCTGTTTTAACAGTATACTATAAATTGTGCTAATTATGTTTTTATAGAGTGTTTGTATACTTCCCCAAACCTTACCTAGTATGCTTAAAGTCAGGTAAGAGCTGTAACAAAACTGCATCTTTTTCATGATCTACTTTTAATATCTGTAGTTTACAGATGATGACACACAGAGCATTGCGTCTTCAGGTCGTGCCAGTTATGGGCGAAGAGAGAGTGTGGTGAGCATGGTTGCATGCAGATATGATCATTTAAAAAATTATGACATTATATTATTACATGTGAACTCCATTGGAAAGTGAAATAATACATTTGACAAAGTCACAGTATAAGTCATTGTGTATTTCAGAATTAAATTTTTTTTATTCCTTGCTCAGAGTTTGTGCAACCATATATTTTCACAGATCAACAAAAATAAGTTTTTCAGACAAAAGAATTCACATTGTGCAAACTCATAACTATGGATTACAGAATCGTTGTGCCATCAGTTGATTTCTGTACTGTTGCATTGAAGTTTAACTAATGCTTATCCTTTTTGATAAGACTTGTGAGCTTCTTGATTTTTCCTTTCGTCCTGTCCCTTGCCATCTTGGTGGCCATCAGACAAATGTGTAAACCTTTTCTTGACCTTTTATATTAGTTGTTAAGTGCCGTTGAGTTGGTTCTGATTCATAGCAAATCTGTATAGAGTTTCTGAGGAGTGGCTGTTGAGTTTGAACTGCTGACCTTGTAGTTAGCAGTCCAGTGCTTATTCTAGTGCCACAGTACAACTCCATTTATAATAGTAGTCACATACAATACTTATTTTACTATGCTTGTCTTTTCTCATTCAGCATAATGTTCTCTATGTTTAGTCATGTTTTGAGGTGTTTACCAGCTTCCTGGTTACTCTTTCACATAGTATCGTTTGTACCATAATTTGTTTTTCCAGCCATCTAATGATGGACATTTAAGTTGGTCCAGTCTTTATGCTATTGTGAATAATGTTATGATGAACATAGGTCTGCATAGATTTGTTTATGTTATGGCTCTTATTTCTCTAGGAGATGCCTCTTAGTAGTGGGATTGCTGGATCATGTGGTACTTCTCTTTCTAACTTTTTAAAGAAATGCCATACCATTTTCCACATAGTTGTAACATTTTATAACTCCACCAGCAGTGTAAGCGAATGAGATAATACCTCACTGTTGTTTTGAGTAACCTGTGAACTTAAAAAAAAAAAAGTTGCAAATGACGAAATAAAAAATGATTTTCTTAGCTTTTAGAGTAATTGTTGTAAAGTCAACAAACTGTTATGCTAGAGTATTAAGTATATAATTTCAGGTTATTCTTTTTAGTGGAACTGGAAATTTTACGGACAGCTAATAGCATTTTATGTTACATTTTAAAGAATTGACCTGGAAATTATATTTGTGAGGATAGTGTTAGTTTTGAGCTAGAATAAAGATCCCTTGAATCAGAATACTATAATTATTTTATGAAAAGTAGAAGATCTTTTAAAATGTCATGTTACATGAAAAACTGTGAACTGGGAATTTTCATAGAGAAAAGTAACACAAAATATTTATGATATTCGAGGCCAGAATTCAATGATCTAATTAAGGTAGTGTTGTCCTTTTGTTCTGACACATGCGAGGTGGCTGTAAGTTGGAATCAACTTGGTGGTAACTGGTTGAAATCTATTGGAGTGATACAAGGTTAACAGGAAAGATTGGAGGTTCAAATCCAAATAGAGGCACTTCAGATGAAAGGCCTAGTGATATACGCTCCTCTAAAAGCAGCCATTGAAAATCCTGTGGAGGACAGTTCTACTCTGAGACACATGTGGTTGCCAGGAATTGGACTCAACTCCATGGCAATTGCTTTTTGTTTGGGTTCTTTAGTGAACCAGTTAATGTTCATGCAGAAATTCTTATCTTTCTGCCGAGGAGTGGTTGGTGGGCTTTAATTGCTGACCTATTCTATCCGAGCTGGAGAAAGATGAAGCTCTCTGCTCCAGCAAAGTTTTGTAGCCTTGTAAACCCTATACAAGGTCACTGTGAGTTGGAACTGATTTGATGGCACTTAAAATAACCACAATAATATACATGAGGTACTATGTTAAATGATGGGAATGATGTGGTAAACTGGGCAGACCAGATGTCTGACTTCATGGAGCTTATATTCTAGTGAAAGAAAGGAACAGAAAAGAAACAGATCCCAGGGATTGTGAAGAGAGACAACTGGCAATTATAGGGAAGGCGTCTCTGAGAAATTGACTTTTGAGCTGAGACCTGAAATATGAGATGAAGGAGCTAGCTACTTTTAAAGCTGAGAATAGACCTTTCTAGACAGGTGCAAAGGCCTAAGATGGGAAAAGACTGCTGTGTATGGGAAACTAAAGAGAGGCTAACAGTTTCCTTTCCTTTGCTATTTTATTTTACAGTTCCTGTTTTTGAGAAAAACATGTAGCTGTAGAATTGGGCAAAAAGTGTGGTGCCCTGCAAATAGTTCTTTATTCCACATGTGTGTGCTTAACTGAGTTGATAGTTATAGTGGATTATAAATTTTGTGAAGTATATTTCTGTATGCGGAAGGAGCTTGGTAGCGTTGTGGTTATGAGTTGGACTGCTAGGTTAGCAGTTTGAAGCTACCAGCGGTTCTGCAGGTAAAAGATGAGGCTTTTACCCCTGCAGAGATTTACAGCCTCAGAAACCCTATACAAGGTCACTCTGAGTTGTAATCTGCTCCACTGCACACCACCACCATTCCTACCTCAGTAGTATGTAAGGTTGTGTGGTGAATTACAATCGACTCGATGATACTTAACAACAGTAGATGGTGTCCATGGATTCTGACCTTGAAATCTTGCTGCTGATGGTGGTACATGTCTTAAACACCGGAGATTCTATGGACCCTCAGACAGTAAATGATCCCTCTACTATGGATCTCTCATTAAGAGCTTATTTTAGGAAGGTTGTAATATTTAGGAACTCCTTTTTTTCTGAGTAGGTTAATTGATCTTAATCAATTTCTTAATCCCTATATCCCAATGATCTTAATCCTTTTCTTCTCTTTTTTTCCATTAACGTTTTAAAGCATGTCATTTTTTTCCCCCTGACTAAAAGGTTTCTGCTGCTGACTGTTTTAGTCGTTCCAATCGTAGGGGGAGCGTTGTCTCTGATGCGGATGACGTCAGTATCCCAGATTTGACCAGTGTGAGTTTATTGCATGGAGCCATTATGCAATGTTACAGTTTATGACTAGTGGCTAATACATTACTTATTTTTAAATTAGGAACTTAATTTTCTGCCTAGGAAGTATTTATTTGACTATATTAACACAAAATGCATTTTGTTTTGTTTTTTGAAGCCATCTGTGGAAATTTAAACAAAAATTTATATGTGAAAATTTGCCCCCACAGAACCCATCACCAGCTTCTAAAATTCAATATTTTGCCTGTTTTGTTTTACCTATTTCTTACCCTTTCCTTCTTTTTTTCCCTTTGGAATATTTTAAAGTAAATTCTACAAATATAGTTTATTATGCATCCGAGCATGTGTTTTTGCTGTTAAGAAATTTAAAATAATCCTTTAATACCATCTAATTAATATTCAGTCTATATTCAGATGTTGCTGATCAGTTAGAAATTTTTTCTTTCCTCTGGTTTTGGTGAATGTGTAAAGATCTTGGTAGACTGTTGTGAAGTACAGTGGAGTCGGTTCCGACTCATAGTGACCCTGTACAGGGTTTCCGAGACTAAATCTCTACGGGACACTGTCTTTCTCCTGCCGAACTGATGGTAGTTTCAAACTGCTGACCTTGAGGTTGGCAGCCCGACTCATAACCACTACGCTACCAGAGCTCCTTATGTAATACTTTGTTGTGAAGTGCTGTCTAGTTGGTTCCGACCCTTAGCGACCCTGCATAGGGTTTCCAAGGAGTGACTGGTGAGCTTGAACCACCGAGCTTGTAGTTCAAACGGCTTTGTAATCTGGCGCATTAACCCATACTTAGATGTTACTAATTGATTCTAAATATTTGGATTATGGCATTGTTTTGAAGAAATGTCTCCTCATTGCTTACACAGTCATCAGGAACTGAATTAAGGAAGGATTGTCTAATAGATGTGTTGGCATTTGTCACCATGAAGGAACCCCAACCAGCAGATCAGGATCTACCTGATCTTGAATCTCTGCCTGATTTCCTCTCTGTGACACCTCCCTCCATTGCTGGTATTAGTCTTGTTTTGCCCAGAGGCCATCAGTGTCCTGATTATGAAGCATTTTGGAGGGAATGAGAGACAAACAATGTTTATTAATAGAAGTAGAAATTAATTTTAAATTTTAAATTTTAAATGGAGATAGAACATTTATAAGCCTTCCTCCAATCCTGATGCAGCATTCTTCTTCATATAGTCCAGCTTCTTGGATTATTTGTGCAGCATGAAGATGGAATAAGTATAGTGAAAGAATTTAACTCTGATTTACTACTTTTCTGATTTTAAACTAAATAGTATCCCCTTGTTCTCTTTGAGTAACTGCCTCTTGGCTTATGTACAGCTTCCACCTGAGCACATTTAAGTGTTCTGCAATTCTCATTCTTTGCAGTATTATCTGTAGTTTGCTGTGATCCACACAGTCAAATGCCTTTGTATAGTCAATGAGACACAGGTAAACATTTTTCTTGTAATCTCAACTTTTAGCAAAAATTTCCTTCACATCAGCAATGATATCCTTTCTTCTGTGTCCGCTTACAAATCTGGCTTGAATTTCTGGCAGTTCTGTGTTGATGTTGTAAAATCATGTTCAGCATGATTTTAATTGTATGTGAAATTAATGATATTGTTTTATGATTCAGCATTTCGTTCAATCACCTTTTTTTGAAATAGGCACATATTTGGATCTCTTCTAGTCGGTTGGTCATGTAACTGTCTTCCAAAGTTTTGGGCATAGCTAAATGAGTGCTTCCAACATAGTATTTTCAATTTTGTTTGGGGAGATTATTAAAATTAATTGTTCTTTCACTTGTGGTTGGTATTTGATCTTCTGTTTCCAGGTTCTTTCAAATAGAATTTTTGAGTGGCATTATTAAATAAATATATATAAATGCAGAGGTTAAAAAAGGATTAGAATCTAGTTGCTGCTTTGGACAAATTACACTAAAAATACTTTATTAGACTATGTTGTTGTTGTTGTTGTTAAGTACTGTGGAGTCGGTTCCGACTCAGTGACCCTGCACAGGGTTTCCAAGGCTGTAAATCTTTACAAGAGCAGAAAGCCTCATCTTTCTCCTGTGGAACAGCTGGTAGTTTCAAACTTCTGATCTTGAGATTAGCAGCCCGATTGGTAACCTCTATGCTACCAGAGCTTTTTATATCTTATTATGTTAAACATAATTAAACTTTATTTAATTTCAAAGCATTTCATTTTCTGGCTGATTCTTTGGGTCATCAGTGTCAACATTAGCTTGGCATTGCATGGCAACTATGTGCACTGTATGGCTATTAAAACACGGACTTTGAGAATGCCATGTTTCACTTACCTTTGGAGGTTAAGTGGAAGATAGCACATAATGCAGCACAAGTCTCATAAGTGAGAACTGAAGAGTTTCTGGCCAGGCCACTGCAACTGAAATAACTGGACTGCGGCATGGCTGCTCTAGGTTATTTTTTTTTTTTTTTGCTGCCTTGGCAATCCTGGAGGTTTGGCGCATGATCAGTTTAGATTGCGACAATCGGAATCTGACAGATCACTTAAAGCTATATCAACTTTTCGATGAACACTGGTTCAGTGTTGCAGCCTCTGAAATGTGACACTGTTTCAAACTGATTGTCTATTTCAAAAATGGGTGAGTTTGGGGGTCTCTTCTTGATTAGTTATATGAGGAAGGATTTTAAATAAGATTTACAACAGTGTTTAAATTTCTGAATGCTGCCTTAACTCATTAGCAGAAAAGAATTGGAAAATATTAGCCAGTGCATTTTGCTAGTATAGATGTGATAGGTGATTATTCCTTTCTATGGTAATAACTATCAATCATAAAATAAATTTTGACTTTTGTTATTGTCTACTTCTTTTACATTATTTCAAATGTTTTAAATTTTCATTTTGCTGTTATAAAGTACAAAATAGTATTTCTTTTACTTATATATAGTACTGGTCATCATAGTAAAATGTGTTTACTGAGAGAAAATGAGCATGATGTATGTTAATTGAAGGAAAAGGACAATAACAACTTTTGCGTATGAGGAAGTTAGAGTGAAGTGATCCGAATACAGTCAGCAATACATGTTATGCTTTAATAATTAACTGAGGAAGATTTTCAAACCTTTTCCCTATATTCAACTAGGAAGTTGCGTCTAGGAGTTTGAACTTGTTTATGTATCCATTTAGTTAAATTCCTTTTGTTCCTAGTAGTAATTAGGACAGTATGTGTTGGAAAACAATATAAACTCTGGAATTAAAATTGTGATTTAGATCCAGATTTTATAGTTGTTTTAAGTTTCAGCAAAATCTTTTACCTCTGAGTTTCTTTTTCCTTTGTTATCGAGTGAGGTTTTGGATTAGACCGCCAAGATTCCTCCCTTCTCAAAACACTTTCTGAAGCAACCTTAAGACCTATCAGCAGAAGACAGGTTAAATCAGTTTTGGTATTTCCAGATAATAGGATGCTCTTAAGTGAGTTGAAGTCTAAAAGTAGTGATGGATGATGGAGTATGACTAATTTTCTCATTCTTCCAGTGAAGTGTGATTCCTTTTATATGCCCCGTGCTGTTCTTTGTATTAGAAGCACAAACGAGAACAAGGCACACAATAGAGCTTGGTTTGTAGAGGGAGATCAGAAACAAATACTGAAGAAAGATTATGGTGGTGATGGTGCTGTTAAGTGCCGTTGGTAGTGATAAATGCTATGTAGGAAATGAGTGACAGTATTTTCTTTAATCTCTTTAACTTAGTAAAGAAGAAAAAGATGTAGAATGTGTGTGGGATACTGTTAGGATTTTTAAAAAGGTTGGAGTTTGTTTGCCTTTGGAGAGAGGGGTTGGAAGTGAGGGGAGGTTATGGTGTGATGAGGATTGATGTCTATCACTCATGTCCTTTAGACTGAATTTTTTGAGTGGAGGGCCTACATGTGATTTATTAAGCACAAACCGACAGCTGAATCCTTAATGCTGTAGGGAATTTTTTAAAAAGTAATTTTATTTTTGTTGTGGTTGTTGAAAATACACAAAGCAAAACATAAACCCTTCAAACAATTTCTACATGTGACAACACTGATTACATTTTTTTAATTTAAGTTGTGCAACCACTCTCATCCTCTTTTTCCAGATTGTTCTTCCCTAATTAATATAAACTCACTACCCCTAAGCGTTCTTCTTCTCTCACTTTTCAAGTTACTATTGTCAGTTTGGTTCCATAGGGGTAGTTTTTTAAAAGAGCGCAATGTTCGAGGCAGACATTTTTTTTTTTTTTTTAAGCTAAACCAGCATTTGTTTGAAAAAGACTTCAGGGGACATTTTTGGTTTCAAGTTTAAAGATAATCTTAGGGCAATAGCTTTGAGGGTTCATCCAGGCTCTGTGCCTCCAGAAAGCCTGGTTTTATGAAAACTTGAATGTCAGTTTTGCTGCCTATGTCCCTTTTAATGAGGATTCTGCTGTCAAATCTTTGATCAAAACCTTCATTAACAATAGCTGGGCACCATCAGTTTTTCTGGTCTCATGACAAAGGAGGCAGTTATTCATAGAGGCAGTTAGCCATGCACTTCCGGGAGCATATTTTTCATGATGTATTTGACTTGCTGTATTCCAGTCTGATTTTTTTTCCCCCTTATTGTAGTTCAAACCTACATATCCTGTGTTTTCATAATGTTTAGAAATAAAAATTTTTGACTTTTGATTTCATCAGACATTCCCTTTTGGTAGATACAGTTGTGCTGCTAATACTCAAGTTTATGTTGTTTTCTTTAATGTGTTTTAATTATGAAAAAAAATGTATCTGAAAATTCTTAACTTTTGAGTAAACACAGTGTGCTTGCTTCATGTCTTCCGTAGGATAAGAGTGAAAGTTTTTGACATCTTTTCTTATATGGCTCGACTTTTGTTTCAGTTTTTGTGTGTTTACTTTAAGTTCTGAACTCCACTGAACTCAAAGAACTCAAATGAGTCCCTTTATTTCTTTAAAAAAAAGGAAAACCAACATGCTAAGCATCTTTTCTGATTTTATCCTTGTTCTTTTCTAGTTGGATGAAAAATCTGACAAACAGTATGCTGAAACTTACACAAGGGTAAGTATATGTTCCTAAGGGAATTAAGTTCTCAAGGTCAATGAAACTTTCTTGTGTTCCATTTTTTATTTTACTACTGTTGGAGTGAAAAGGCGCTACCCTTCCTCCCTTCATCCATTTCCTGTCCTTGACCCCCCAAAATTCCTTCGAAGTTGAATCATGTGAAGCATTTTATTTCCTTGCATGTCATTTGTTTAGCTTTTGGCTGCTCTTCTGATTTTTCTTCCTCTAGAAATTGATCCTGAGAAGCCATTAAGCACTGAAAATGAAACGGCTTTAGGAATGATGGGCACAAATTCTAAGTTACTTTTTCTTTTATAAACTACTTATTATAACTCATTTCTGGGAGTTGCTTTGTGTATGATTCTCTTGTAGAAGTAGCTTTAGAAAGTCATCTTTGGGAAATAATTTAGCAGGATTAATTTTATGCTATTTTCAAGACAGATCTTCTAGTTTTGTAGAACAGAAATATAATGTGAGCCACAAATATAAGCCACGAATGCCAGTTTGTTTCCTTGTAGTCCCAGTAAAAGGCAAAAATAGGTAAATTTCACTGTATCCAAAATGTTATATTTCAATTTGGAATCCATATGAAAAGTTGTTAATATCTGACACCTTTTCCTCCTGCACTAAATCTGAAATTTGGTGTGTATTTTACACTTAGAAGACATCTCAGTTTAGACTAGCCACATTTCAAATGCTCAATACTCGTATCATACTAGACTGTACTGCTTTATATCATTTATTAGTAATAGCATATTCTCACATTTAAAGTAATTTTGGGAAGAGCAGTCTACATTTAGAGTGATACACAGTGTTGATGCTCAGCTTGCAAATAGTATCTCCATCTTACTCAACAATTTTTAAGATGCATGTTGAAGAACTTAGGACTCTTATACCAATTACATGTTTTAAAATGGTTTATTTGAAATTGTTCTGATACGCTGATTCCAGTGTTGTTTATAATATAGCAAAGATAAACTTAGAATACAAACAAATAATCTCCCACAGAAACCAGTTCCTTTTTTAAGTTGCTGTAAATTTTAGATACGATAAGGGGTTGGAGTTAAGTTATGCTTGGTATGCTTGAGCCCTTTTCTGGGTACTCCTCCCCCCAGAGCTAGTGTAAGTTGCCTGTAGATTGTATTTGTACCTTCTTCATCTACACTATATTGATAATGAGGAGGCTTCAAAAAGTTCATGGTAAAATTCCATTACCTTTCAATTTTGTTTTTTCCACTAACTTTTTCAACCCTCTCATAGGTTCACCTGAAATCTATGTTACTTTCCATCACTCTTCTGCGCCACCCTCCTGCCCCATTTTTAGTTTCCACAGCAAACATATTTTGAGAGAAACAAGCCTTAGAAGTGTTGTATTTCTTTTTCTCTAGCCTTCATCTCGAAATTCTGCCTCAGCAACAACCCCTCTAAGTGGGAACTCATCCAGACGAGGAAGTGGGGACACCAGCAGCTTCCTAGACCCAGACACTTCATTAAGTGAATTGCGGGTAAACTGCAGTGTTTGATTTGCTTTTTCCCCCCCAAAACAGCCTTTGGCTGCTTTGCAGTGTACTATATACTAGAACTTTTAACTTTCGAAATGATTTAGTAGAAAGGAGAGATACAAGGTTTTTAAAAAATTGCTAATACAATAAAAAAATGTGACTTAGATGTTCCAAAGGTAGGTGATTAGTGAGTTCTTTTTTCCTTTCTGTTTCCGGAAAAATTGATGACATGTGAATCAGTTCTGCTAATTCACAAATGCCAAAAAAGTTGTCATTTATGTAAAGGTAATTCTCTCAGAACTCAGTGGCCATATATTAAAAGGAAAATTTGTAAATGTACAAGAAGCCAGACCCTGGGAATTATTAGTCTTTGGAGTCATTGGTACTATTTAGCTACTTGAATATAGTCATCTGTCAATTTTTCATGATAATCTAAGTGTGCTAATATTTGGTATAACAGAAATATCTGTAGAAAATTAAAAACATATTTGACCTATTTAACTGAGTCTACATCCTTATTAAGAGCCCTGGTGGCACAGTAGTTAAACACATGGCTGGTAACTGAAAGTTTGGTGGTTTGAACCCACCATATGCTCCAAGAGAGAAAGATGTGGCAGTCTGTAAAGATTATAGCTAAGAAACCCTATGGGCTAGTCCTACTGGAGTCCTGGTGTGGTGCTGTAGAATAAACACTGGACTAAAAGGTCAGTTTTAATGATAAGGTTAGTGGAAACAGCCCCTCCTGGAAAACCCTATACAAGGTCACTATGAGTAGGAGCCAACTCAGTGGCACTTAGCAACACTACAACAGCAGCTTATCAAAAGATAAGAATTTAAAATTTTTATTTGAATGCCTGTTTACTGCATCTACGATTTGTTAAGAATAAGAGAGAGATAAAAAGAAAATTTTATTTGCTCAACATTTATTGAGCGCTTGACCCCGGAGATAAATGCATTGAAACCCTTCTAACCTTCAGGAGCGCATTGTCTCACAGAGAAGACAAAGTGTTAAATACTACTAGTAAAACAAGGTGGGTGGGACTAAGGGAATTCTGAGAACTCTTATCTAAATTGCAATAGAAGATTGGCTTTTCAGAGGAGACAAACTATCTAAGGTTTGGAGGAAGAATAAAAATTAACCAGGCAAAGAAGTTGGAGAGGGAGGGCTTTCTTAAAGAGCTGCATTTAAACAACTAAGTTGGCCAAATGGAAGGATGAGAAGTGAGGAGTAGTGATGGCTGAGAGTGAAGGCTGGAGAAGTAAGAGGAATCAAATCATGAAGTATTCTTGTATGCTAGTTTAAAAGAACTTTATTTAACTTTATTGTGACAACTGTAGGGTATTAAATAGAGGAATGATGCTATTTGACTTACATTTTTAAAGGTAACTTTTAGCACAATGTAGGAACTGTTGGAGGCCAGGAGAATAGTAATCCAGGTTATGTATGAGGGTATTTCAGTGGGAATGGAGAAGTCGGATGTGCTTTCAGAGGACTTTTAGAGGCTAAAGAGAATAATAAGACTTTGTGATGGATTTGATATGGGTGTGGAAGGAATCGTGGCTCTCTTTTAGAGTTTTGACTTGGATGACTGGATTAATAGCATATCTTGTCTGGCAGGAAGGCAGAATATAACAACAAAAGGTGTAGGAGAGGAAGTGATGATGAGTTCTGTTTTAGCAGAATTTACTTTGTGGTCTCCCCATGATCCAGAAGGCAGATGAAGAGTTAGTCATTCTTTGTGCCTTTGGGAGTTGAACCATGGGATTTTGATACCTCTTTCTTACTTAGTATCATTCTTGTATATACACACGAGGCCACATCACCAACACAGGAGTGTAGAAAAACCAAAAGGTAAAGATATGGGGCTGAAACCCTGGGATCCACCCACATTTAAGAATCTAATGCAACTGTAAGGAAACTGGGAATGCTAAAGAGAGATTAGGAAACCCCTGAGGGTGGAAAAGAAGCCAAGGGTGGAGAGTTTCAAGAAAGGGGGAGTGTAGGGTTGGTTAAGGGAATACAGCGACCAAATGCAGGAAGAACCACTAGTTTTAGTAGAATACTGGTATGGCCTGAGGCCAGTGTACTGTGGCGGCATAATACTTATAAACCAGTATGGGAGGATGGGAGTTGGTTGGGCAGTAGGTAGAGGGATTAAGAGAATGTTTTTATTTCCTCTTAAAGATGGAATTGTAATGTTTCTTGATTGGATTGAGCCAGGACAGTCAGAACTTGAAGTGGCAAAGCAAGTGCCTGAGTAGTTGAGAGAGGAGCCCAGGACTCAGATGAAGGGACTTCCCACCCACTGATAGAGGAGGCAAGGATAGGAAGTGCCTGAGTAAGATTTTAAGCTGGGTAGTAGAAGGTGTCTGGGTTATGAAATAGGCTGTGTGCTGGGATGGAGGGGAGGTGAAGATTTGAAACAGTGACAGTATAGGAGAGCTGTAAATATTTACTGAGCTCTTCCTATGTACCAGGCATAAGGTCTCAAGATTCATAGGTGAAAAAGATAAACTCTTGTCCTAGGTGCAACAGTCTAGTGAGAATAAAAGATAAGATGACAAAGGCTGCTAGCTTTAGATTTCCTTGTTATTTCTTAACACTGGCCACTTGAGGAAGTGAGACTTTTGTATCCCAGTACCGGGCTTCTAATCAGGTCTTCCATGAATTAACGTCTGTTGAATGCATCAATGAATAAAAAGACAAATCTACCAGGAGGAAATGAAGGGGTAACAAAAGTGCAATACAAAAAAAATCTATGTAGTTGAGTTTAAAACTGATCCAGCATTAATTACAATATTGTATTTAGGGTCCTTCAGTAGTTATTTCCTACCGTAATGTAACAGGGTCAGGTATAAGGGAGATAATATTTTCCATTTAAAATGATCTTATATGGATTATGGTAACATTTGGAGCAAATGCTTTTCTTCTCATCACTTAAATAGAGTCCTCAGAATAGAATATCTCATTTAACAGTGTGTTTGTTCAAAATGTTTATTTAATGTTCCTCCTTTTACTTATTTATTGTTGTCAGTAACAAAGTCATAGAAAGATAACTTTGTTTATAATTACTTATTACACTTTAAAATGTCTGAGCAAATCATTAAAATTTGTTATTTGCAATTAATTTCCTATATATTTTACTAGGTTTAGGCAAAACGTTATATAAAGTGAAATTTTATATGTAAGTATCTTACGAAGTTTTTAAAATTGTATATTAAAAAATATTGCAATCTGTATAGCTTTTCTTCATAAATAGACCGATACTCCATTTGTGAAAGCTGTTTTCAACAGAAGTTAATGCCAAGAAAATATTTAGCAGTTTAGATGTATTATTCCATACTCTCTCATTTCTAGTATCGATTGACTCCTTTTATTCTTTTTAGTGATGTAGAGTGATTTATGTTTATGTACTTTGATTTCTCTGCTTTTAGTCTGAATATTTAAAAGTAATTCACATTTTTATCTGAATCTTTTGATACTTATGATATGTTTGTTCGTGGTTTTAAGCAATGATTCATTCCTATGTCCTGCAGGATATCTATGACCTTAAGGACCAGATACAGGATGTAGAAGGGAGATACATGCAGGGGCTTAAAGAACTAAAGGTATCAGGGCCCATTTTGCAGCCCAAGCATGCTCTTTATATACAGAAGTGTTGGTAATGGTGGTTTCATGAGTTCTATTAACCCCACTGCACATAGCTTTACTAACAGTGTTTGTCTATCAAGCATGTGCTTAACCTGCAATGTACAGGAAAGGTGAACTTTCAATCTTTGCTTCTGTTTCAGTGTTCAGTATAGTTTTTGAAATACTTAGTGAAAGATATTACACCTTATGGTTTTTAAATTTTGCCATATACTACCTGTCTCTTGTGTCTTATCCATACAAAATCAAATTGGGTAAAGGCCTATAAAAGTATTTTAAGGATATTTTTATTGAGATTTTAACCTTAAAATTCTTCCAAGCTAAATGGAGAAGTGTTGCTATTTCTCACATCAAATTCAGTCAATTTTAAAGCAGCAGGTGGAAGCAACTAAAGGAGCATTAATATAAATAATATCTCCTCTGCAGGAAAGATCCTTAAGGCATGGAATATTCACCACACTGAAAGATAGTCACCAAACTGATAGAACTGAAGAGGTCTGGGGTCAGGGAGATTGGTCAAGGGAGACTTTCACTTTATCTGTATTCCTTGTTTTTTCTTCCCAATGAAAATGTTGCCACGTTTTGGTTGTTGTTGCTGTTAGGTGCCAACTAATAGCAACCTCCTGTGCACATCACAATGCAACGCTGCCTGATCTTGCGCCATAGTCACAGTTTTTGTTGTGTTTGAGCCCATTGTTGCTGCTGCTATCAACCTGTCTCCTTGGGTGGGGGGGGGTCTTCCTCTTTTCTTACTGACCCTCTACTTTGCACGCGGTCCCTCCTGATAACATGTCTGAAGTATGAGAGACCAAGTCTCTCCTTCAGTCCTTCTAAGTATATCACTGCTCTATTACTTCCAACACAGATGGTTTCTTTTAGCACCGTGTTTTGCTTACAAACTTTTTGAAAACAGGTATTACTGCATCTGTGAGATAACATTTCAGAATGGTTCTGTAGGATAAGCACTGGACTGCTATCTTCAGGGTTGGCTGTTCAAATCCAACAGCTGCTCCTTGGAAACCCTATAAAGGGTTGCTGTGAGTCAGAATCGACTTGGTGGTACTTAATAACAACAACAACAACAAAATAGTTTTCACTATTTATTGACTGGGAATCCTGGTGTGGTGTTAGACTGCATTGTTGGTTTGAACTGCAGCATCGGCGATTCAAGCTCACCAGCTGCAACTCTGAAACCCTGTACAGGGTTGCTATGAGTCTGAACTTACTAGATGGCACTTAACAACATTTTCTGACTATATGACCAACCTTAAGTTACTTAGCCCATCAGTCCATTTTCTCATCTCTACTTTGGAGATGATAATGATCTGATAGAGTTGCTGAAAAAATTAAATGTAATTTAATCTTCTGTCAGTGTATTGTACTGTGGTGGCTTGTATGTTGCTGTGATGCTGGAAGTTATACCACCAGTGTTTTAGATACCAGAAGGATCACCCATACTGGCCAGGTTTCAGGGGAGCTTCCAGAGTCAGACAGACAAGGAAGAAGGAGAGGCAGACTCCTTAGGAATGGTTATTGTCAGATGTAGTGGTCAAAGTTCAACCATTTCAAGAGGTAGCAGCATATGATCAAGAACCAGTGGGTACTGAAGAAAGAAGTTCAAGCTGTTCTGAATCCATGGGTGATAAACAAGACTTCAGGAATCAGTGGAATACAAATTGAAATCTTTAAGCAAATTGATGCAGAACTGGAGAAATTCAGTCATCTATGCCAAGAAATTTGAAAGACAGCTACCTGGCCAACTGATTAAAATGGATACATATTTTTGCCCATTTCAAAGAGAGGTGACCCTGTGGAATGTAAAAATCACTGAGTGAAATGACTAATATCACATGCAAGTAAATTTTGCTGAAGATAATTCAATAATGGTTTTACCAGTATATTGACAGCGAACTGCCAGAAATTCAAGCTGGATTCAGAAGAGGAGAATATCAGAAAGATGTTTACTTGTGCTTTATTGACTATGCAAAGACTTTCTCGACTGTGTGGGTCATGACACACTATGATAATATTGTAAAGAATGAGAATCCCAGAAAGCTTAATTGTGCTTATGAGTAACATGTATATAGACCAAGAGACAGTTCAAACATAACGACTGGATACTGAATGGTTTAAAATAAGAAAAGGTATGCACCAGAGTTGTATCCTTTCACCATACTTTATCAGTTTGTATGCTGAGCAAATAGTCTGCGAAGCTGAATTATATGAGGAAGAATGTAACATCAGGATTTGTGGAAGACTCATTAGCAACTTGTGACATGCAGCTATTACAATCTTGTTTCCTGGAAGCCAAGAGGAGTTAAAAGTATTGATGAAGATCAAAGACTGTAGTCTTCAGTATGGATTGTACTTCAATGTAAAGAAAATAAACATTTTTATACGTGGACAGTAAATAACATCATGATAAATGGAAAAAGATTGAAGTTATCAAAAACTTCATTTTCCTTGAATGCACAATCAACACTTATGGAAGCAGTAGTCAGAAAACCAAATAATGTATTATATTAGGTACATCTGCTGCACAAGACCTCTTTAAACTGTTCCATAGGAAAGATTCCAGGATAAAGATATGGCTGACCCAAGCCATGGTATTTTTAATAGCCTCATGTGCTGTGAAAATTGGACAGTAAGTAAGAAAGATTGTAGAATAATTGATTTGTTTGAAGTATGCTATTGAAGAATTATGAAAGTACCATGAACTGCCACTAAATCAAACAGATGTTGGAAGAAATAAGTCAGAATGCTCTTTAGAAGGAAGGATGGTGAGACTTCATCTTTCACACTTTAGACATGTTATCAGGAGGAACCAGTCTCTATCATTCTTGGTAAAATGTAGGATCAGCCCCAAAGAGGAAGACCCGCAGGGAAGGTTTGACACAGTGGCAGCAACAACGGACTTCAACATAGTAAGAATTGTGAAGCAGGCCCAGAACCATGGCAGTGTTTTGATCTGTTCTGTATAGGGTCACTATGAGTCTGAATCGACTTGATGGCACCTAACAACAACAATAATAAAAGCATGCAGATTCTTAATAATGTTTGCTCTTATTAGATATAACTGATATGACATTATTCAAGAATGAATTGCCCCCCCCCCCAAAAAAAAAAAGAATTGGCAAAGAAAATACAGTTTTTAAAACTTTTTATTGTGAATTGAGTCAATGTGTACAGATCAAATCTTGAATTTGAATTTACATTGAATCATATACTTCATTTCATCTCAGTGTGTTTGATCCCACTTCCTCCCTCTGATTCTTATTTCCATTCTACTCTTCTCCACAGCCCTTTTCTTCTTTGTCATTAGGTAAAATTTGCCCTAATGAAAATTGAGCCAGGAGGGTGAATTCATTTCCATATCTGCAGGATGGCCAAGGGTCATTGTCTCAGGTTCCTCCAGTCTCTTTCTGAGTAGTTGTTGTTGTTGTTGTTAAGTAGCAGGGGAATTGATTCCCACTCATAGTGACCCTGCATAGGGTTTCCAAGGCTGCAAATCTTTACAAGAACAGAAAGTCTCATCTTTCTCCAGCGGAACAGCTGGCAGTTTCAAATTGCCAACCGTATTCGTAACCATTATGCTACCAGAGCTACGTAAACCTGGTCTTTTTGTAATTTTGAATTTTATTCCAAGGTGAAAAAAATTCAACCTTATTATGAAAGTCACATATATACCGTGTTCAATATGTGTACCATATTCAAAATGAATACTGAACTACAAAGAATTTCAGATTGTTGAGTAGTTGTTTAGGCTCATTAACTAACTAAAGTCTGATTTCCACACAGCATGTTTACACTCATTTGAATTTGTACCTTTAAAAAATTACAAATTATTCTTTGTAAAAATATTTTAAGTTAAAGCAAAACTAGTTAAATTCATAAATATTAAATTCTCAAGGGCTAAGGAATGGTATACATTGCTGTTGTTGCTATTACGAGTTGGTTCCAACTCATAGCAGCCCTGTATAGGGTTTTCAAGGATTGGCTGGTGAGTTTGAACTGCCAACCTTGTGGTTATCCCCTGCCAATCCAGTGCTCATCCTACAGCACCACACCATACATTTCTGACATGTTGTTGTTAGGTGCCATTGAGTCGGTACTGATTCATGGCGACTTTATGCACAGCAGAATGAAACACTGCCCGATCCTGGGCCTACCTTACTACTGTTGCCACGCTTGAGTCCATCAGTGCTGCCATTTGGCCAGTGCATCTCGTTGGGGGTCTTCCTCCTTTATTCTGAGCCTCCACCTTATCAAACATGATATCCTGCTCCAGCGACTGGTCCCTCCTGGCAATATGCCCAAAGTGTGAGAGACGAAGTTCTGCCATCTTGGTGTCCAAGGAGCACTCTGGCTGTACTTCTTCCAAAATGGATCTATTGGTTCTTTTGGCAGCCCATGGCACTTTTCAATATTCTCCTCCAACACCATAACTCAAAAGCATCAATTCTTCTACGGCCTTCCTTATTCACTCTCCAGCTTTCACATGCCTATGAGGTTATTAAAAATACCATGGCTTGGATCAGTTGCACCTTAGTCCTCAAGCATCTTTGCTCTTCAACACCTTATAAAGGTCTTGTGCAGCAGATTTGCCTAATGCAATACGTTGTTTGATTTCTTGACTGCTGCTTCTGTGAGTGTTGATAGTTGATCCAAGATAAATTAAGTCCTTGACCTCAATCTTTTCTTTGTTGATAAGAATGTTGTTTATTGGTCCAGT